CAAATCCGTGAAAAAGTGACAAAAACCATCAAAACACCGAATATCGGGAGGTACTGTTATATGGGGGCTATACCAAAACGTGGACATATGCATACAATATTTCGCCACACTAGCTAGAACCCATTATGACCTACAAATACCAAATTTCAGACAATGCCGTGAAAAAATGTAGCAAAAATCATCGAATATCGGGAGGTACCGTTGCCTATACCAAAACGTGGACCGATATGTCTCATTTTTAATACCAACCGTTCTAGACACAATACAAATCGTTCTGCTAAATTCTGACGCTCTACGTCAAATAATGCGGCCTGTATCGTGATTTCAACAGACAGACAAACAGTTAAATCGACTTAGAATTTTATGCTGATTATGAAAGTTTATACTTTATGGGGTTTACGTCGAATATTTAGGGATTTTAGAAACGGAATGACAAAGTTAATATACCGTCCTTTCCGCATATAGTAATTTAATCGTAATTTATCGTAAAATAAATCAATATTTATACCCTGAGCAATTTGGGGAAAATAAAAAGCTGCAACAAAGTCAAACATCATAATTTTTACATTTTTTAAATTTCATTTTAAAATGTCGGAAATATTACCAGATTTTAGAATAAGTTTAGATTTATTCGAATTGGTCACCTTTGGCACTAATTATGGCCTTCAAACGGCCAATGAAACCATCACAGGCTGCCCGAATGTTGCTCAACGTTATTTTGGCCCATACCCGGCGAAACGCTTACCTGAGGTGATCGACACTTTGGTATTTTTTAGCGCCAACCTTGCTTTCCAAACACTTCAGACAAAATAGTCTAACGTATTGGTATCCGGAGATTTTGGTGGCCATTGTACGCTGGAAATGAAGCGAGGAACCTTACCTGTGGGGTGGTGCTGAGTCCTGTTGGAATGTCCACATTTTCAGCTGACCTCCTACAACGAATGTTTCCTCATCGGAGAAAATCAAATTCGGCTGTTCACCACTTTCGTCCAAGCGAAGCAAAGAGTTGCCCTTTTGAGTCTATTTTCTTTCTCTTGCGTTGTAGATCTTGCACTTTTTGGAATTTCAATGGAATAGAAATGGAAATGAAGTATGTTGATAATATTTTACTTAAATGTATATTATGTCTGCAGGTCTTTTGGTATTGAAAATGAGTCATATAGGTCCACGTTTTGGTATCGCTCCCATATAATGGTAAGCGACATTATTCACCACAAATGTTTCAAACTTGGTACTTGAAGTTCGTAATAGATACTACAGCCTACAGCCCCCATACAACGGTATCTCCCGATATTCGGTATTTTGATGAACTTAGCAACATTATTCACCGGAATTGTTTCAAATTTAGTATTTGAAGTTCGTAATGGATACTACAGCCTATGGCAGAAAGTTGTCTGTGCAGGTCCACATTTTTGTATAGCCACTATAATTTTTTTGATGATTTTAGGTTCATTATTCGCCGATTTTTTTCAAGTTTCTCATTTGAATATTGTAATGGCTTATGACAAAACTTGCCCATGCAAGTCCATGTAGCACTAATATACATTCGCTATTTTTAAGATTTTAAGAGGATTTTTAACGGATTTTATTTTTATTTATTTTTAATTTTTTGAAAATGTTAAAATTCGTTCCAAATGGTGGAGTTTAGTCCAGCCAAACTTAGTTGCTTTTTAAATTGTTCTTAATAAAACAGTTAAATTTGGAATTTTAAAAAGAAATTTTTCAATACGGATTCAACTTTTTGTTATAGGAACATATAAAATATTTTATTAAAATTGACTGAACAAATTGTCATTTTGTTATAGCTAACAAAAACTTTTAGAAAAAATGCGTGCGAATATTATTACCATCTATACGGAGAACTTTATACATCCATTACAAGACGAAAATTTCCACATCAATATAGTACCTAATAAAACTAAATAAATATTTTTCTGTTTTGTTTATAAACTCATAAATAAAGTCATTACATTGGCTTTTTGTGAAATGATACGCGTATTTGTTGTATTTCACAATAATTAGTCTTTTAATACATTTTGCCGTTTTATTGACACTTTGATAAGCTTGTAAAATGATTCATTAACTATCCATAAATTCATTTTAAGATTTCTTAGAAGCTCTTTTGAAGTGTAATTGTGTATCAAAATAATTGAAAGGAAAAATAAAATAAACATGCAGATGATGATTTATGATTATTTTATTAATAAATTGTGTGTTGAAGTCGAACGAAGAAAAGTGCAAGTTGGCCAATTCCGTATCTGAACACTGTTGACATTTTAAAGACAACAATAGGAAAAATATTTATCTTTTTTTATAAAAAAAATGTTTTTCTAGAAATATGATTTAATATAATAAATTCAAAAATAAAACATTAGACAATAGATTAATCGAAATACCGTCAATTAATCTTCAAAGTGCTATGTAATTTTTATACCCTACAACACTATGTGTTGGGGGTATTATAAGTTTGATTGGGCCAAAAATTATGTAACACCTCGAAATATTGGTTTTCCACATAGGAAAGTCTATATGGACCTTACTATCTAGCCGAGCTGAGTCGATCTAACTATGTATGCCTGCAGTCCGTCTGTCCATGTTAATATGTAATCACTCTACAGGTCGCAATTACATATGGCCCGATCCTCACGAAATTGAAAACGTAGGTGGGGTTATGGTCAGAACCCTATTTCTTTTGGAGTTGATTGCATAATATTTAGGGGCTGAAATGGACCAAAAACTGAAAAATTTCATGATTTTGCAGTTGCTCTACAGGTCGCAATTATAGACCAAACGACGCGAAAGTTACCATGGGGATAAATCTTAGGGCTGGGCAGTTGCCTTCCAATTTGAATGGTCATCGCGTAATATTTAGTGACCGAAATGGACCATAACTCGTGTGTTAAATAAAAGTCAAACTTTCCATTAAACCGCGAATATTTTTAATCTCGGCGAAATCACAAATAGACGAAGAGGTCAATTCTGACCGTTACGTAGATGCCGATAGTAAATACATCGGATATATATAGCGAAATATATACAATGTTTATATATAAAGGAAAGGGATGTTAGCCAGAATGCTTATATCTCAAAAATGGCTAGGCCGATTTCGTCATATTTTGTCACTTCAGAATGCCCTCTTGGCATAAAATCTTAAAAAAGTCGCATAGAAAGATGCCAATAATGATGCTAATATAGATTTTCTAGAATTTTGTGACGTTTTTTTATTTTGTCATATTTTTTATCGCATGCGATTTTTATACCCTACACCATAAGGTGGTCAGGGTATTATGTATTTGTGCATTTGTTTGTAACAGGCAAAAGGAAACGAGATAGACCCATAGTTCCTTTTGATGATCTGCATAGAATCACATCCTGAGTCGATTTATGCATATCCGTCCGTCCGTCCGTCTCTCTGTCCATGTATTTTTGTAAACAAAGTACAGGTCGCATTTATTGCCCGATTCTGATGAAATATTGCACAAATAATTTCTTTGACCCAAGGACGAAATCTATTAAAATTGGAGTTAATCGGACAACATTTACATATAGCTCTCATATATATCTTCGTCCGATTTGCCTTTTATTGTGCACAAAACGTGTAATATCAGCTCGAATAGAATGGAATTTTGCACATTACAACCAAGTTAGGCCTTAAAATAAGTATGCCAAATTTGATCGAAATCGATTCAGATTTGGATATAGCTCCCATATATATTGTTCATCCGATTTGTTATTTTTGTCCTCCGCAGCCGTAATAGACACTCTGTAACAACAATATTTGGGAAAATATATCAAATACAGCTCAGAAATACATTTGCTAAATTTTATCGAGATCTGTTCAGATTTGGATATAGGTCCCATATATAATTTCGTCCGATTTACCTTTTATTGTGCACAAAACGTCTATTATTTGTCCAAATGGGATGGCATTTGGCACTTACGACCGAATTGAGTCTAGAATCTATTATGTCAAATTTGGTGAAGATCGGTTCAGATATAGCTATAGCTTCCATATATATTGTTCAACCGATTCGTTATATTTGTTACCCACAACCGTAATTACACTCCGTAACAACGATATTCTGGGATATTATATCAAATACAGCTCAAAAAATATCTTTACCAAATTTTTTGAGATCGATTCAGATTTGGATAGCTCCCATATATATTTTTATACGATTTCAAATTAATTGTGCACCAAATGGGCAATACAAGTCCGAATTTAAAAGATACAAATGCTTCGGCATATTTAGTCCTTTGAACTTTGAGCTATAATTATAATCATAGCGTGTATGATTGAATTCTCCCATAGAAAACTTTTAATTGTTATGTGGAGCTCTACTAAATTAGCAAAGTGGTGTAGGATATCATAAAGTCGGCCCCGACCGACTTTAAGACTTTCTTTACTGTTTTTTTTTTTGTTATGTTTCGCATTTGAATATTGTAATGGCTTGTAACAAAAGTTACCTATGCAGGTCTCTGTCGTCGTATAGACCCTAATGTAACGATTCCAAATGTTCTGAAATAGATTTGGTCCACAGAGACTTAGGGTCTAAAACCGTTAATTCGATTAGGCACATTTTTGTCGTAACAAATGATACATACCCTCTCTAGCCATATGACTGAAGGTATTAAAACGTTTTCATAAAATGCAACTCATTGACATCACTAACCCGACAAATTTGAAATCACCGGCTATAATAACAAAAATCTCTCTCGATCACAACCAACCAAACCCTCTCCCATTCTGTTAGCCAAATGCAAAATAAAAACCAAACAAAAAACATTACATCCACTTGTTTACATTACGAACACGATTTTGATTATGTGGACCCGAGTGTCGAATTAAGCGGTTGATTGCTCTTGTGCTGTTACTCTGTTACGCTTACTCGGTTAGCAGTACAAGACAGCAGCACGATCTCTTGTCGGCTGACTTCTTTGAATTGGGCCAAAACCCAAAAGCCAGTCCGGCAGTGGCAAAACACGAAGACCAACCAACAACGACAACAACAACAACAACACTTTGATATTAACTGTTTTGGTTCGTTCATTCATATAGCCGTGAAGGAACTTTGCGATCGTTTAGTCGTGTTCAGAACGTTAAACGGCAAAGTCAATGCACGGATCTTTTGTTACGGTTGCGGCGGTAGTTAAAATTTTAAGGATTTTTTTGCGGAAATCGAAAGCAAAAAATATCAATTAAAAAAAAGAAAACAGAGACAATTTTTTGAATTAATAAAACGTAGTACAACTAAAAGTGCCGGGTTTGCTAATTTTTATTGAAGTGCATGGTAGATAAATTAAAAGAAATATACAAATTTGAAACGTCATTTAAAATAAACGCAAAGATAAGAAACATCAAACAAAAGATTTGCTTAAATAAATCAAGATAAAATAATAAAACAGACTTTATATAAAAAAGCATTTTATGATAGTCTAATTAAACGTCTAAAACAAAGCAGGAACTTCATAACGTAATCGAGGAAAAAAAGAAGCAACTCATTGATTTTATGTCTTCACATTGTTCTACAGCATTGAAAGGGGTTCCATAACCTTGGCTTTTAATTGCATCGAAAGGGAAATCCCCAAAAAGGTAAGCCGCACTTTGAAGGCATGTTAATGTCCTTCACACATTTCCTGTTATTTGGACACGGAGAACTAACCTCAAGATTTATTGCATTGCTAACTTAATGGTCGTCTCGAAAAGAGGCGTTTGTCGTTTATTTTTTTTTTTTTTTTTTTTTTTTTGTAATTTTTTAAAAATGTTGTGAAATTCCAAAGAAATATTCGAAAATGTTTAACAGTTCTATAAAATATTAGTACCTTTTATGTGATAATGCCAAATCTTTTTAAATATGGGTGTGACTCGGTTTATCAGTAGTTTTCAATCCACTGACCCATATCAATCAAATATAGTTCACTTGTCGACCATGGATTTCTATGTATCTGGCAATCGTATTTTATGTTAGGATTAACGAACACCTATTTTTCAAAATTATTTTTGCTTTTATTTTGGCAAGTCATATGTTCTGATCTGATTTATGTGCATTTTAAAAATAGAGTTGAATTTCAGGACATTGTTTTCGAATCATGATTTTACTCCTTTTCTTTAATATGAAATCTTGGAACTGACATAAACCTTAATGTCATTGTCCTTGTGGCTACCAAGTGTTTAAATTATTTGACACTCATCGATTTGCACCTTGGACAGAATCCGTTTCCGTACAATTGAAGTCCACCTAGCAATGTCCGTCATTTAATTTTACATCAAGATTGGTTCAAGATTGGAAATTCGTATTATGAGCAAACAATTTTTGATTAAAAATTCACAAATATAAATCATAAAAATCGGATGTTTAAATGGACAATATTGAAAAAATTCTTCTCGTCGTCCTCTTTTAAATTTCCTTCAACATTTTTATTAAAAAAAATCCGAGTTCAGATATTCCGGAAATATTTTAAAAGTTAAGATAACTTTACAAACAAACTCTTTAAAAAATCTTCTTTAGATATCTCTAAAAAATGTTATTTAAAAAATTAAAACAAGAGTTTAAAACCCACGACATCCTTAATAAAATATTTAAAAAAAATCAAAAATTATTGAAAATTGTATAGAAAATATATTCATTTAATGAAATTCACACTTGGGGCTTTTGAAATCCTTGAACATATTATTTTATATACCCAAGTTTAAGGCTGGTTATGTCCTTGACATGATTATGTAAAAAATATTAAAAAATCCACGTTTTTTTATCTATTAAAAATATTTAATTAAATACACCTTCGGTGCTGTTGATATCCTGGAAAAAAAACTATTTTTAAAAATCAACGTTTGGCGTTGTTCATATCCTTTACAAATGTCTGCGAAAAATATTCAAAAATCCACGTTTTTATATATTTTTAAAAAAGTATTAACTAAAACCAAGTTCGGTGCTGTTTAAGGACTTTTATACCTTTGAAAAAAAAAACTATTTAAATAAATCCACGTTTAAGGACTTTTATACCTTTGAAAAAAAAAACTATTTAAATAAATCCACGTTTAAGGACTTTTATACCTTTGAAAAAAAAAACTATTTAAATAAATCCACGTTTAAGGACTTTTATACCTTTGAAAAAAAAAATTTAAATAAATCCACGTTTAAAGACTTTTATACCTTTGAAAAAAATTATTTTAATAAATCCACGTTTAAGAATTTGTATGTCTTTTAAATACTTATTAAATAAAGCAACATTTGCTGCTGTTGATATCCCTAAAAAAACGAATTAAAAAAAATTAACGTTTTAGTTGTTATGTCCTTAAAAATTTAGTCAAAACTTATCTATTTAAACGCACGATTGTAACAGCGGATGTTTAAAAAAAATAAAACCCACGTTTTTATATCCTCGAAAAAAATTATATGAAAAATACAATTTTTTATATTCTCGAAAAACGTATTTTTTTAAAGAAAACAACGTTTGGACACCATTGAAAAAAAAATATTGTAGAAATCTTCGGTTGGTTATTATTAAAATAAATCAAAAATTTGTAAAACGCATTAAGTCTCGCCAGGCCGAAATTTTCATTCTCTTTCCGTATCATGGATAGCTGTGGATATCTTTAAAACAAGTAACTTTAACAACACTCTTTTCTGCCTTAAAAACATGTGTTTCAAAAATCCAGGATTGTGGCTCTGTATATCTGAGAAAAAAAATAAAAATCTATGTTTGTTATCCTTACAAAAAAATGTTTGAAAAAAAAAAATAAAAATGAGTCATTTAGATCCACGTTTTGGTATAGCCCCCATAGGGTAATGGTCCACGTCTTCGTATAGCCCCCATATAACGGTACCTCCCGATATTCAGTTCTTTGATGATTTTAGCGACACAATTCACCGGAATTGTTTCAAATTTGGTATTTGAAGTTCGTAATGGATACTGCAGCCTAAGACAGAAAATTGCTTGTGCAGGTCCACGTCTTCGTATATAACGGTACCTCCTGATATTCGGTATTTTGATGATTTTCTTTGAAATCGGAGTTATCCTTACAGGGGCTATTCCAAAAAGTGAATCGTTATGACCCAATTTCTGTACCAATGATTCCAAATGTAATCGAAGGATCTCTGTCAAATTTCAATGCTCTATCCTAAATATTGTGAAATATATCTCAAATTATAGGGACCCCTTTGTATGTTGTCAAAACTATATATTTTCCTTCTTTGGGAGTTTGATCACTTGATACAATAACTAAAATCAGAGGCTGTCATTTTATAAATCCTCCAGCAAAAGTTAGACATATTTTTATTATTTTTTGTAATTATAAAAATAATATATGGTTTATTCTGAGATTTAAAAAAAATTGCTAGAATCAATGTTTATTTAGACCCAAAAATTTCGAATAAATTTTCGTGATCAGCGTAAAATTCTAAGATTCGATTTAACCCTGTTCGTCCATCCGTCTTTTGTAATCGCTTTAGATTTCAAACGGAATGTGATAGCAAGATAAAATTTTGCATTGAGTTGCCTTTTGTCCGCAAGAGTCAAGCTCGAAGATGAGCTATAACGGTCAAAATTTTCATATACCCCCCATATAATTGTACCTCCCCATATTTGGTATTTTTAAAGATTTTAACCACAGCTTCTAATGTCCCGCTTTCTTTAACTACTCTATTGTTTATACTGGTCTAGGTTTCAGTATAGCCTTCAGATAATTGTACCTCCTGATATTCACTATTTTGATAATTTCAGCTACACTTTCTAAGGGAACTAAGGGAGTTCATTTTAGACTTCATAACAAGTTCCACACCCTGTGGCAGAATATTATCTATATAAGTCCACGTTTTTCAATAGCTCCATATAATGGTACCTGCCCATGTTCGGTAATTTGAAGATTATAGCCACACTTTCTAACACGATAGTTTAAAATCTGGAATTAAGAGATCATAATGGATTATTTTTCCTATGGCAGAACATTGTCTATACAGGTCAACTTTTTCGTATAGCCCTACTGTAATTATACCACCCGATATTCGGTATTTTGACTATTTTACCGACGTTTTCCAAGGGAATAATTAAACATTCAGTATTTGGACTTCATAATGAGTTCAATTTCCTGTGTCCGAATATTTATAGGTCCACGTTTTCCAATGTCCTCTATATAACGGTGAGCCTCAGATTTTTTTAAGAGTTCATAATGGATTCCTTTGGCAGAGAACTACGTATAGTAGTATTTACGTCCAGTGGCAGAATACTGTTTACGTGGGTCTACGTTTGCCTATAACCCCATCATGGAATTACCTCAAATTCAATATTTGGATTTCGTTAGGAATTTTCAATAACTTTATTCTATACATAAATCGTGAATTTTTAAAAATAATCTTCCTAATTTCCTGGACCTCTAATTCAAGGATTATCTTTTCATGGACTTTCTGTTTTCAGATTTTTTCAAGGACTCTCTACTTTCAAACATTTTTGCTTTCATATTTTTGCCGCTAATCCCTTTATTTCTCATTTTCATATTACCACCTCCAATGACTTCAATTTCAAGTTATTTAATTAGCAGCTCTAACTAGTTCTGTAGGCCATTGACAGTTTATGAATAGCAAAGCTTGTTCTAAGCCTTACGCACCGGTCTTTGGCAAATTGTCTACAGACCATATAAGAGGTAAATTGCATTTACTTAGCAACAGGTTGCTAAATGGCAATATACTTAGAGCGCTGCTACAGAAATGGTTAGAACTGCCTTGAAGCAAAACAAAAACGTGTTTCAAGGCACGTAACTTTGTTATCTGTTGCGAAATTAGATGTTGCAACGCACTACTCTTGTTCTTCATAAATTGTTTGGCCCAAAAGATTTAACACTGCATTTTCGATTTTTTTTTTTTTTTTTTTTTTTTTTTGAGGAAAGCGCATGTCTTAAATTAAAAAAAACAATTTTAAAATGCTATTATGAGAACCTGTATCGAATTTAGATTAAAAACTTAAAAAATCCACAAAACAATTTGCATTCTATTTGTTCCAAAAACAAAAAAAAAACAAATGTTTGTCATTGTTCCAATGAATAGAATTAAATTTCGTCTTGAAGTCAATGTGTCTTCTATTCGTGTCTGACAACAATGACATGAGCAAAGAAAAACAAACCAAAACCACAACAATAAACCGCCAAAAAATCCCATATTTCTTCTTCACACTTTGGGGACAATAAAAATTGACATTAACAACACCACCCAACATCCAGACATAAATTATTTTATAATTTTGAATTTTGGTTTATATAGCGCAAACGATAAAACTCGTTTTCATTGTCTCCGCTTATTATCGATATAATTCGTATATCGTTAGCAAAACAAAAAAAAAGAAGAAAAAAACGTGTGAGAGTTAATATCTTAATAATTTTGTTTTCAAATATTGTCCCGTGATAATGTCATGCTGGTTTTAATTCCCACAAGAATTGTAATAAATTCATAAATGTGGGATAATATTCTGAACTATGTTTACTCTATCTACATTTTCAACCTTGAATTAAAATAAACAAAAGATAGTAAAATTCTAAACAGAAAATATTCTATGTCTCAAATTTATGCAGTATGTGTTATTGTTGTATATGTTTAATTGGGG